GCGGGGCAAGGCCCCCCCCGGCGCCGCCCCACCAGCCGGTGTGGCGGCTTTCCCTGGTGCCGCCGAGGTCGGGCGGTCGCGGCCTTTTACCCCGGCTGCTGTCGCCGCCTCTCGGGCCGCCGGGCCCAGGTAACGGTCTCCCTGCCCGGCCTGAGGAGGGGCCGCCCGGGGGCGTCGAGCGGGGAGCAGGGCTCTGTCGCCCCAGAGCTGCCTGCTCGTCCTCTGTCGCCTTCTCCGTGGGGGGTGGCTTGTTGTTTCCCCTTGACTCCCATTGCTTTTCTGGGAGACCCCTTCCACCCGCCTCACGGCTCTGGTTTCCGACTCTGAAGTTGCCACAGCTCGGGTCTGCTCCTCACGGTCACGGTGCTCTCCTCTCCCTCCCCTTGGCCCTATGGAGGGGGGTGTCTTTGTAGGGAAACACAAGCATTTCCAGGTGTACGGAAGGCCTAGGTTTAACGCACTGTTTTCTGTCTTGGTAGTGGGTTAAGCTTGGGTATGTGTTTGAGCTTAGAGGAGATAGTGTAATAAGCAGTAGCTCGTCTACAAAGCACTAGCTAGCTTAGTGGCTAATGTATGTATGGTCAGGGTAGTAAGGCCTTTGTAATAAATGGGAGGATTGCATTGTGGAAGGTGTGATTAGCTTAGTTCTCATAGTACAAGTTCAGCTTCCAAAAGTTCAAAGCACCAATCTTAGAAGCGAAGTTGAGAAGGCAGGTTTTTCTGCTAACCCATTTGTACAACCTTGCATTTCATAGCTGTTTCATTCCCCCCGTTTTTTTTGTTTTTTTTAACCTGTAAATGGAATGGCCAATACCCACCTTTTAAAAAGACTTTGGAATTGTTAGCTGAGGAAAAAAAAACAGATGTCCAAACATTACTGTCATTTCTGGTATGCTTTAACATTTGGAGAATGAGACAGGTTTTGTCACTACTTACAACTTTCTATACATTCTTTGAAATAGACTTGTTCCCTGGCCAGCAAAAAAACAATAGTCACACTGCAAGTACTACAGGGTATGGAAGTGAAAATACTGGTACAAAACTGAGTCCCACAAATTAAAAGCTAATGAAATAGCAGTTGAGGTGGTTGTGCCTCTAAGCAAGAGCATCTCAGTTGTTACTAGAAGTCTCTCAGGAGGGGGAGTAACAGCTGTCATAGATTTTTAACTTGGGCAGGCAAGCTTTGTCAATGCGGTGTAAAAGCATTTTGTTAATACTAATGTCAAATCTTGGCACACACAATACTTGAAAAATAGTTTATGCAATGGATATGCTGTTGTTTCTTTATACTTTGAGAATATTTTTATTTTGGAAGATGCAAAAATTAAGTACTTTTTTGAAATGAAGCTTACAAAAGTGGTAGATATGTTGAAGTTTTCAAGGCATGTGTAGGCAACGTTTTTCTTACTTCAGAAATTCCTTCCTGGGGTGAAGAAGAGGGGGATGCAAGGAGTGGTTAAAAAGAGAGCAAGAAGGACTGAATATAGGTAATGCAGCTTATCTTGTACCAGGTAAAGTGTGTTGCAAAATTCAGGATCCAGCTCCTGATGTGAATTACTCCTGTACCTGGAGTGTGTGCAGGTATGTCACTGTGGGGTATGTCCAAACTAGGTACCTTTGTGCCTTCAGCACAGACACAGGGCAGAATAGCCTGGGACGTGCTGCCCAGAAAGATATAGAAGTGGTAGTTCTGCTGCTGTTCAACAGGGCTTGTGTCTCGAAGTCCCTTTAATGGCTTTTGAAAAATGCAGTTTGTTACAGCCTAATCTCATCACCTAAGTGTACTTCTTGATAATGATGCACGAGTAAAATATTTTCTTGACTTTCAGGGTGTATTTGATATATAGGTACTTTTTTGTAGTTGTTAATTTTGTTAGTCTGTTAAGAGATTGGCACCCAAGCTGAAATGTGCATGTCTTTTTGTGCTATGCTTATAACCATTCCCATAAAAGTTCAGGGACTTTTTTTACATAGCACAGTTGACGATGTAGGGCAGAGTTGTTTTTTTGTTCCGACTTTTATTTTTCTTTGAGCATAAACCAGTCTTAAATCAAGAACAGCATGTATTAAATGTACCTGGTACCCATGTACTTCAAAATTGGATTTTTTTTTCCCCCCCAACATCGATTGGTTGCTTACAAATCCAGAGTTGGATTGACCAGGTGTTGGAAAGTCAGCTGTCAGTACAAACCATCACTAAGAGAGTATACGGGGAGTTCTGCCTGCTCTGTGGCATCAGTGGGTATGAATTGTAAGGATTTGATTAAGACTGAAACTCCGCCTGAATATTTCTATGCGGTTTAATGATAGTATTTGCTTACAAAGTTCTCTACTATCAGAAATCTTGGAAAAAATGTGTGGCCAGTTGGATTGTAAGAATTTATTTGTGTTTAGAAATATGCAAAGTTGCTTTCTCTAGTAAAAGAAAGTAATTTCTGTCCAAATTTTTATGTGTTAATGAGCAATACAAACATTGATACCTATCTTGCCTGTTGAACTAACACTTATCTCTGAGTTGTGAGTATTTTAGAAGGGGAGAATCTGAAATGAGACCATAACTTTGTTTCAAATATGATTCTGTTGTGTAGTCAAGGGAATTCTTGTTGAGCTTTGTCAGTTTTTGAGAAAGTTTCAAGGTTTTGTTTTATTTGATATTTTTTAATAGCTTAGCAAAGTTAAACCTCAAAAACCTCTCTGGGGTAATGTTGCAAAATAGAAGATTAATCAGTGAGTTTGACTTACTGCAGGGGCCTGTCTGGAGCTTGATTATGGTGGCCACAGTGGTGCAGCTGTCTGACATTAATAGATCTCTACCAGATTCAAACCGATTTGGTGGTGCGGCACTATTCCCTTCTGACTGCTGTGAGAGATTAATCATAGGAGAGACACCTATGAGTTTAAATAATGAGGTTTAATACCTGATCTCAGGTATTTAAACTTGGTGATAATTGTTCAAATTTGTGAACTGATAATAATGAGTTACCATGTGGTGTATTCCCTGAATCCTGTCTCGGTTGAGATGTGGTGTCTAGGTGTGCCTGATAGGCATATTTCTTCATTTTGTGATGATATGACTCCTAGCAGCTTTTCTTTTTTAGAAATAGGTCAAGGAGTTTTGCTGCCAGGCCTGGGGAATGTTCTGAAACTGTAAATTCTGGAATTAAGAGTCTCCATTTGACACCTTCCATAAAACCGAAACCTAATTTGTGCATTGAGAGGTGAGTATGCCTTTAGTTTAAGAGTGGAAGACCCCTTGCAGACTATAAGCCATCTTTTGACTGCTTACAGTTATGATTTTCATACCTTGGGGATTTCTATGTCAGATATTCTGAGCTGAACAGAAAAGATTTGCTTTCCTGGCTTACTTTGTGATCCTATGTTGACCTTCTAATGTGTTCTGGCATGGTTCTCCCTCACTTCCTTTTCTAAGTTCATACGAAGTATGTAGGTTTTCCAAGTCCTATGAAGCCTTCAGCATCTCCTTTGCAAATCATGGGCTGTGTTGTTCCTTGAGAATAAAAATTGTTATTGTATTACTTTCATAAAAGCCAGTTTGGAATTTAACTTCTGATGTTCTCTTGATGCTTGTTGCTTTGTATAGAGAGGCTGTGGATGTAGATGGTGGAGTGGGATGAGGGGGGAGGCTGCTGCATACTTGCTGCGATGTAAATGTTTCCCTCCCCGTTTGACGGTGAAAGGGCACTTTCAATGTAATTGTAAGTTGTGTTCTTTTTGAAAATTAGTTACGTTTCTACAAAAAACATCTAAGAACATGTTACATGAAAGATTAATTCATTTTCTTTGTTTTATACATTTTGTAGCTTCCTGTGTAGTCATTTCTGTTTTCCATTGTATGTCCAGTTTAATCCCTTATGTTGTTAGTTTGGTGTGAAAGACGAGAAAAAGAAAAAAAATTTCCTTTCTGTCAGCTTCCTTCAAAGAAAAAATAATATGGTTGTAAAAACTGCTGTTGAGAATTCTAGATCAAGCCTATTATTTTAGCTTATTTGCAGCTTTTTAGGGGATCATTTCTAAATTCTCTCTGGAATAAATGCACAAACTGCTTTGGGCTCACAGTGTTTGAGTTATTTCACATAGTAACTGTGCCAGTTTTGGCATGGTCGCCTCTATGTTAGTGCAACTAAGATTCTGAGTTTTATTACAAACCTTGGAGTATTGGCATTATTATCATTCTATGCTTGAAAGCTATATGCTTCTGGAATAAAGTATTATAAATCAGCAACTGTTGTAAATGACACAGTAGTAAATGGACAAGAGACACCGCTGAGGTGTTGACTTTCAAAGCAGCTTGTATTTTCAGCGGTGATTTTGATGTTACCATACTCTCATGCTCCAAAAAGTTAGAGTATAAAATACATCTTTTTATAACTTTGTGCAGTTACCAGATACTACTCGAAGGGTATGAGGTTTCTGTCTGTTAATGCAAAAATCATGGTGACTCATCTCCAGCTTATGTTGTGGTTGTTGTACTTAGGCTGGCACCTGCATTTCAGGCAGCCTTACAGATGCACAGAAACATTAATGTTCTCAAGATGCCGCTCAGCTCTTATTTTGAAGTTCACATCTTTCTGTTGATATAAATGAAAACTGCATGAGACCCCTGAGCACACATGGTTTGAAGATTTTGATGAGGTAGAGCATGATCTCACTGTTTGACTAGGACATTTCTGTCCTGGTGCATCCTGAGACCTGACACCACAGTCAGGAGGAGAATGAGTGTGCACAGTTCTGGTAAATGCTGGTGGTTATGGACTAAGTGTTAAAATCATGGTACAAGCAGTGAGAAACTGAAGTTGAATGAGATAGTTTCGTGTCAAACTGGGTGAAAGTTAACAAAGTTTAATGAAAATGCAAACCCATAACTTTTCATGTAATTGTGCTGTGACACTTGAATAGGTTGTGAATTGTTTTAAGCAAATGTTTTCATCAGAGAGACATATCAGAACGCAAACTCTGCAAATTAACTCTTCAGGTGAGTTTTGATTTGTGTATTTAGAAACTACCAGCTTGTATCTCCTTTGTTTTGCTCTGGCTTGGGATTAAATTCTTTGCCGTTGTCATTTCTGGAGTTTGCAGGCAAGTCTAACAGTATTTCGCTTTCTCTTGTTTTCTAGCATGCCATCAGAAATGCTGATGAAGATCTTTTCCTATTTGGATGCTGTGTCCCTGTTGTGTGTTGGTTGTGTGAATAAGCACTTCTATCATCTGGCCAATGACAAGTAAGGAAGAGGGAGGCATAAGTGCTAGTCTTAATTGTGCAGCAGTTGAGTTTACCTGAGTTATGAATCTTTCTAACTTGGTTTCACTGATGCCAGAGCACTGATGCATGTACCTACTGGCAATTACTCTTCTGAAAATGTACTGCATAGCTCACAGTAGAACGTGCTATATGGAATTCTAGCTGTGCAAGCCCTGTTAAGTTTAATGGGAGTTATGAGGTGAAAACTACATACAGTGTTTTGAAATGTTGCTATTACCATTTATTTTGTTGTAGAATTTGCATATATTTATTTGTATTCACGTGTGCCTGCACAGACTTTTTGGTTCAGGCAGTTCTTAGTGGTGTGTAGCCAGTAGCTTTGTAGAATTGTCATAGCTTTCATAATTTTGAAGTCCTACTTATTTAGCTCTATTATCAGGTTTTTGCAGAGGGTTTGATTTAGTCAAGTGATTCACTAGTGGGTTTTATCTGTTGCTCTTTCTGTCAAATTTTGGTGACTTCTAAGTGAAAACAAAAGGGACAAAGATGAGTACTGACACATTTTTTTGTAAGCGATTGCTTACAGAGAGTTCACAAATTGCTCCTACCAGTATCATTATAATTTTGTGGAAGGATCGAGAGACCCTGGTTGGTATGCAATAACTAGGATGTCTGGATATCCCTTTTTTCTAGGATTCTGCTGCATTAGTGTTGTTTAAATGAGAAAACGTCTTCCTGTATAGGAAGTTGCTGCATCTGGTATTCATCCATTTCTCACTTACTTGCCAGAACTTGTACAGTGAATCGGTTAACATTGGCATTGACACGTGTAGAACTGATGTATTTAAAGGGAAGGCCATAATCCAGATTTATTTTTTCGGGCTGTCAGCAGGTGCATGTAGATAAAAATTGTGTAGTTGACACAAATTCTATATCTTAATATGCGTTTTCCACTTCAGGATAGTGAGGTAGGATAAAATCATTGTGGCTGTTCAAGGGAAGCTGATTTGTCTCTCTCCATCTCAAGAATGTCTGTTTCCATTTTCTAATCTTGACAAAGATTACTGTATGTGCACAGATGGGACTGGAGGAAGAAATACTTTCCCTTATCTAGGAGACTGACTAGTTCAGTGGAACCAGGTCACTTCTTCCTGCTGGATTTCCATGGACCTTCTTGAGTCCCTGAATCTTGTGGTGAATTAACAGAAGTTTTAATTGAAGTTCTTGCATATCTCTCTGACAAATCTGTTCTTGGTTTTTAGGCAGAGTATCTTTTTGAGGATATTTCTGCTGTCCTGGATGTACAGGATGCTGTCCTGGATGCAACAGGACCATCAGTCTTTTATTGTGATATATCTGTGCTGCCTAATGCAGTGCTTTGTCTTTGGGCTCTTCAAATAATATCTGTTCTTTAACAGTTCCTGGGCACTGATGTCTTCATTGTGACTGTTGAAGGCAAGGAAATGTTTCTGATCCCCCTTGTCCCAGCATGTGGTATTATTCCAGCCTTCCTGTGATGCAATGTGGGATGCTCACATAGATGGTCTGTCTGAAAGCCTGAGGGTTTTGATCACCAGCAGAAAGTGCTTGTATAAGAGGAAGTGAGAAGCCAGAGCACAGGGGAAGATCTTTTTGCCATTGTGGTCAAATGATGACTGACAATGGTGCATGTCTGATTCTGGCATTTGAGTTAGCAGTAAGAGGTTGGGTTGTGTTCTTGTAACAACGTCCAATAAGCGGCCTTGAAATGAATATTATACTTAAGACTTTGAGGCAGAAGTGGCACGTATTCTTCTGTGAAAGAGGCAAATTCGTGCTTCCCTGTTGGATGCCTTTTTGAGTTGTCTGCCCTGAATTCTTCAGAAGTTGAGGATGAAGGGGCGGTGATACCTCCATAAACACTTGTGATTCCAAGTCCCCCTTTTTTTCTCCTCTGCCTCCCTGCCCTGACTGAATTTTTGAGCTTCTTGAACTGATTTCTCATCTGCTTGTACAATGCTGGTTTGGGAAAGGAAGAAGCAATATGTAACTGAGAGTGAAGAGAAGGGTGGTAGGTATTGGTGGCAAGTCTGTCTTCGTTCAGATTACATTGCCTGAGACTCTACCTTTAAAATGCAGGAAATGCCTGCTACTAACCCCTGTCTTTTCAGCATCATGCAGCCAGATGCTGAGTATCTCTCCCCATGAAAGAAAGGATGTCTGTCTTGGAAAGGGGTTTCTAGTTAACACGAGAGAGTTATAGGAGGACATCTTACTGGACTTTTTAGGCTGAATAAGAGCAGATGGATGATACACAGCTCAATTTCCCCTGATGATGGTGTGTCAAGGACGTCTCCTCTGTTTTCATCATCCCGCAATTCTTAGCTGCTTTGGAGTTAAATAAGAATTTCCTCCCTCCATCAGGAATGTTTTATACTATCTGATAACTGGGTTGTCTTTTCCAGTCTCAAAACTGAGGTATCTTAAATCTTTGTTTTACTTATGGCATTGTTTTTCATGTCCCCCTTCCCAGATTTTGGTGAAAGGAAAGTTGGAAGCTCATGTTGACTGTGAACCCCCCCTTTACCAGTCACAGAAGCTTTTGTGTGTGTGTGTTTTAAACAGCTTTGACTCAAAAAATGGCAGTGGGCAATTGTACATATATCTGCAGAGCAGTGGGCTGAAAGGCTTTTGCAAAATTGCTGAGTATGTTTCCATCAATAACAAAGAGCCTGGCTCTTGGCATGTGGGGACTTATTCTCAGCAGCTGATGAAGTGAGAGTGGTTTTCATGGGTAGGAGGCAGTGTGGGATGGATGCAGTCCTTGAATGCTTTAATGCTTTAAGGAGAGGAAAAATGCATTACAAAGCACGTTAGTGTAAGTTTGCCTGGGGATAAGTGAGGACTGGTAAAGGTAATCTTGCTGATAAATGGTAGAGAATTTCTCTTGAGAATTAGTTTCTGTTACTATTAATTTTCTTTAGTGCAGTTATGTAGACTGTGTGGCTGGCACTTTAAAATTAGAAAACTTATTGGAAACCTTTATTCACAGGTTGTTGTTTGAATTCTTGTAACTTCTTGTACTCAATATTCCCTGAACTGTCCTAGAGATACTGGGGTGTGGGGGGTAGAAATGTGACCTCATCTTTTTCCTAACAGGAAAGAGGTGAACCCATCATTCCTGTTGCATGTGTCTTTGATCTTTTCAAAAAGACATCTCTTCTCTGAGCTTTTCAAAAGAGAGTGCAGAAGAGATTGATGTGACAGTGGTACCACCACCAAACATATGTGATTCTAATTGTCTTCTTCCACCCCACTTTCAGCTGGATCTGTGTGAGAAACTTGAGTGGTCCAGATTGTCTTTGTTGAGTAAGAGGTATTAAAACACTTTTTCCACTAGCTGATTTTGTGTGAAGAGAATGCATGATTGTTTTGGGGTGGAATTTTCAAAAGTAACTGCTTAACCTTAATAGGTTTTCACTTAAGTTGCTGAGTATGGCTATGCTGTTTCTGAGCTTCATCCTGTATCCTGTATTTTCAGCAAGACAGACAATACTTACCTTTTCTTTGTTTCCTCATGATAGCTTTCTCTCAGATATGTACTGTTTTGGGTTTTTTTGTTTTTGTTTTTGTTTTTTTTAAATCTGCTGTAGTGAGTGTCTGTGAAGTAGCAGCATAAGGGGAAGAAAGGCTTTTTAAAAGCCACATGCTCTAGTGTGCTATTGAGAGGCATAAACCAGGGGGAAGTTCCCAATATCTGATGATCCTACTTTCTAGAGTACTAGTCAAACATTTTCTGTATATATAGTTGAGATGTTTATCAAACTTACTGGCATATTGTAAGAATTAACTGAATAACTTCTTTCTTCCCCCCTGCCCCGTGGTAGAGCAGGAAGTCATAAGTGGGTCTCATTTGGTATGTATAATCCAGAACAAGAAATGTGTTTAGAGATTCCTTGTTCTTTGAGATAACCTAGTAAGCCCATGAGAAATGCTGACATCTAGCATCTTTTGGTTCCTGAGCCTTCATGTTTGCAGCAGGGAAACTGACCTCATATGAGGTGTTGGAAGGTCAAAATGGGGAAGAGTGTACAGCTGTACCTTTGCATTTTTTTTGACTAGTACCTAGGAGGCTACAGTTTCTGGTCTTCTATAAACATGGATTTAGATCAAACCCAGTTTGCTGATAATCTAGGCCTTTATTTTTCTGCTAACGTTATGCTCAGTGGTAGCCGAGACATGCGTATGAGAATAATTAAGTAACTATTCTTGAAATTTATGTGGTTTTCATCTTTATTCTATTTTTATTTTCAGTGGAATCTGGCTGAAAATCTATTCCAGTTGTTTTCAACCAAAAAGGACAATTTGGAAAATGGAGTCTGAACAAACAGAAACTGTTTCCTGGGGCTGTGCTGCACTACATGACAGAAAGCCTGGGTACTGGAAGAAAGAATACATCTTCAAACAAATAGCTGCTGTCAAAACTAGAGTAATGCGACTTGTTAAACCTGTAGATCCTTATACAGGTCTTCCATGTAAAAACAAAGAAGCTATGAAGTAAGCAATGCCTTGTGACAGAAGATGTTTACTTGAGAACACTGTACAGAATATTAATGGCTTTGGAAATGCTGGGGGAATATGAAAATAGAGCTATAAAAATGTATATCATAATAGGAAGATATGATGATAGCCTATAAATGACCTAGCCTGAGAAACATAAGTAGCAGTTAGTAGAAATTTAAAAATTCTGTTGGAAGCATAGTTTCAGTTTTGTCACTTTGAGAATCTTTTTTTTTTTTTAAACATCCCTGTCCCCTCTCAATTCTTAAATAACAGAGTATCTGGCTTGAGTTGGATAATTGTTCTAAAGGACAAAAATGGAAAAGAACATGTAATGGAGAAGGCAAACATATCATTTAAGGACACATCTGTTACTATACTTTGGTATAGTACAAATTGGCCATGCTTAGACATCCTGTCAACCCTAAAACTATTCGGAGTTACGCCATTGCTTCCTGACCCAAGCAGAGCTCCCAGCAAGAATGGGTGAGTTTTAACATAGGATTTTTGAGGGGGTTTTGGTGTAACTGGTTGATAATGTGCCTGTCTCTTCTTTTTAGCAAGAAATGGATATAATCCAGCAAGCTATGACATTAATTCATAGGTTAATGTAGCTACTGTCATGCACGATACAGACTGATAGGTCCTGCCTTGGAAAGCTGAATCTAAGGTATAGAAACAAATGAGCATGAAACAAACATGTAAATCTAGGAGAATTTAATGTGAGACATTTAGATTGGAACAGTTCATCAATGTTTATGTGGCTACAATCAGGTAATCTATATTACTAACATTTATTTTTTTATATCTGATAGTTGTGTATGTGAATTTAGGCAACTTGGTGTTTGGCTGCATGTACAATATAAGTACATGCATATGAAAAAAAAATAGTCCACAGCACAATGTAGGATAGCTGTTGTTTTGTAACTTAAGTGTGTACAATATTTTTCTGGCATTATATTCTGAGAAAAGATGTTTAAATTAAAAGTGAGTATTTGAGGTAGGTATGTATTTGGTTGCTGGCAAGGAGTTTTCCACATCTGTGTCTTATGTGTCATTTTAGTATATGCAGTATCAGCTACACGCTTCTTACACAAAACCACTAGCAGTAGAGCTCTGAAGAGAGAGAATTGTTCACCTACAAAAAACATGGTTCCTCAAGCAGAAGCAAAGTATTTGCCTAAAAAAGATCAAGGGAAGCCTTTTGTCAGCTAAACAAGTCTTGCAGTGAAATTATGTGGGAAATGTAGTTGTTTTACCAAGATGATGATTCATATGTAGAAAATAGTAAAAGAAAACTTGCAGGCAGTTAGTGTATTTATTTCACAGAATCCTAAGTTGTTAGAGCTTGTGAATATACATGAAGGTAATGATTTCACAAATATCAGAATGCTACTCAGAATGTTAAGACTTTAAGGAGCTAGTGCAGGGACTTTGGGAAAGTCCCTGTATAAATACCAGCCTGATTGACTTAAAGATGGAAAGGATCGATGTCCCATCCCTGCCCCAAGTCTTACAGTTCAAGGTAACGCGGTGAAGTTCCTGTTGGTTGCTGTCTGCCTAGCAGTGTGTAGTGGTAGGTGATGCTACTGTGATACTACTGGGAAATCTAGGAACAGTTTTGAATATAATAAGAGCCTAAGTCTGCGAATGGTTTTAGAGTTATTTCTCCATTCTGAATAGGTAACGCAGACTCCGCTTTCTCCTCTTTTTTATGCATCATTAGCCAATGAGAACATCTGTGAAGTATGAACTTTCGTTAAAGGGTGTTACGAAGCTAAATTGCTTTAGTTACAGGCAAAATCTAGAGATAATGTTCTAAAAAAGGAAAGCTTCCTCTAACAGAAGCTTTTAATTTATTATATACACAGTTTGATCCTTTCCTTGGAATTTTGCTTCTGTGGAGGAAGAATTAACCCTCTTAGTAGCTTGCTTCACACTGACAAATGTTCAGTGATTCCATCTAGTACCAACATAGTATTAAAAACAAATTATAAAGTAATTCTGTGGCTATTTTGAACTATTGGGCAAGCATATAAGTTTATCTTCTTTTTTAAGTAGTATATTAGACCATCCTGTGGTAGCTTTTGTTTCTTTTCTTTTTAGGCATTGAGATCCTGCTAGTAAGCTGTAGTTGTTCAGAAGTAAAGCTTAGGGCTGTGCATGCTGAATGCTTTCAAAACCGTTTTCATCATGTGCTGTTGGTCAGACTTCAGAGTGAAAAATGAAATTAGGCTGAACTTTTACATCAATAAGGAGACATAGTCTTGTTGCTACATTCTGTATGTTCTTTTCAAAGACCTCGTCGACGTTCCTTAATTGCTGAATACCATCTTGCTAACCTGACTGAAAGTAGTGTAGCAGTTGGTGCTGATAAGCTTGTCCAGCTCTTCAGTCTGAATCCAGGACTCTTAGTAGGACTTTGGAAGGTAAAATAACATTTTGATTCAACACTATTATGGCTTGAAGAAACAGATTCTTTTGCCTTGTAGTTTGGGATTTTGGGAGGTGTGTCGTCCTATAAACTAACAACCAGAAAATACAGGTAGGGACAGCTAATTGATGGCTTATTGTATTCTAAAGAGCTGTCACAGGAGTATCTGTACTTTTCAAAAAAATCCACCTCTAACTGCCAGAAGAGTTATGTGTCATAGTATATTAGATACTGTACTGATCTTATTTCTGTGTTCAATTGTATTTATTTTGCAGTCTTCACATGCCAAAGTTTGATATCCTAAAGACATTTTAAATAGAACAATTTGAGGAGAGATGTGCTTCTTCCCCCTGACTCATGCCTTGCCCTGTCCCCATCACTCAAAGTGATGAATTCCCACAAGGCAACTTTGCTAGTTGTTTCCTTTAATCTACATCAGCAGGTAGTTGTATCCTGCTCCAGCAGTAGGAACACTGTAAATTGTGCCCTTTTGGGGACATTCAGTTCTTGGTATTAAGTGTCTAAGTTAAGGGATTAGTCTCTGTAGGCTGTGTGTAGAGATGAATGTCTTTAGAGAGCAGTGCAGAACATCTGAAGTAGACTTCTACTCTAAAGAAATCTGCGTCTTTGCACTGAATATGCTGGGACCTAGGTGTCTGCCTGAAGTTGCATACAGTTAGGTGCTATGGAAGCCTCTCTAAGGTGTTCTGCTCTTGGACTGAATTCAGAGGTGGCAGCCCTTTCTTCCTCCCCCAGCCACGTTAATGACGTAGACTTACATTATTTGGCACTGGCAAGGAACTTCCCTCAGGGAGCCTGTGAACAGTTGCTCTAAGCTGTGTCTCATTTCCAGCTGGAAACTCTTGCTACCTCAAATGTGTGCAATCACCAGAGGAATTGTTTAAAAGCACAGAAGGAATGGTTGTTTGACTCTTATTTAAAGGTGTCCATTTCCTAGAAAACTTGACAGTGGCTGGCCTGCATGAGTGTATTACGGGTTGTCTCAATCTATGAAAAGCTCTGATAAGTGAACAGCTGTTTCTTTTGTATCTTCAGTTTAGTGGATTGGTGTCCCTGTGTTGTCCCTGTGGTCTTGCTAGCATGTTATCCCTTCCCTTTGGAAAGACAACTCTTTCAGCACCTGGAAATGATTCAATCATAACTAAGTTCCACAAAGTTATTAAGCATTGAGTGCTTCACTGCACTATATTTCTCCTGCTTACTTTTCTGAACAGCTGTTCTTATTCTCTATGTGGGCAGAGTAACATTAGGCAGTTAACTGTATGTAGATGGGTGTAATAATCGTAAATGCCACACATCTTGTTTTTTTACACATAGCTGCATAACCGAAATTGTTGATGCTAGTAGTTTTGACAAGCAAGGACAGGTTATGTGGGCCTTCTGATATTTGGATAGAGAAAGAGTGAGAGACTCTATGTGACTGATAAATCTCTGTCATTACATCTTTTATAGCTGTAATTTTGCACACCAAAAGTACAGGAGTAGCTTAAAAAAAAAGAAAAAGTTCGAGTAGGGGATGTCATTTTCTGATTGGTAAGCCAGAGAGATGAAAACAATAATTGCTTGCTTTTCAGTACAGTGGTAGACTGCTGGCAGTGAATAATTTTGCTATTGACTTGTGTTTGCAAATGTAGGACTTAAAAATGCATTTTTCTTTAAAAAAAAAAATGAGCTGAAATCCTAGCATTCTTTGTTCTTCAGGTAAATAGATACCTCTGGCTCTGTTAGTTCTCACATTGAGCTCTGAAGTTTTCTTTGAGCTATATAGGCCTATTAGAAGGTATGTCTTATCGTTTTCCCAGGAGTACGTAATCTGGTGAAGACATCTGGGGTTTTCCTTTGAAATTCAGTATTTCTATTGAATAGCTCTGTATTCCTCATTGATGTTAGCCCTCTTTGCAAATAGTTCCTTACATATGAAAATAAGCTTGATGCTTTGGTATTTAGTAGCTGGGAGTAAGGCCTGTTTGACTCTTTAGGTATCTGGTTTAAAGTGCTAAGTAGAAGCTAGAGAAGTGCAATTCATGGATCGCTGCTGATAACTTTTGCCCTGGCATAGCTAGTTTCCCTCCCTTTCCCCATAATATAGAAATACTGTGATCTTTTGCATATAGTCTGTACTCTTGTGAAAAGACAGTAGCAGTTATAGGAGTCCCAAGTGTTAAAGCAAGCCATTATTAACATTATTACAGTAACTGGCAGAGTAATAAGCAGCAGCATTTATCTATGAATTTTAATGCTGAGGAAGACCTTGTGAAAAAAAAGTATTTCCAGATGAAAATACATCTACTTTAATTAACTTTTCAGGAGAAAAATGAAATTGCTTTTGTTATGGTGAGTCTTCATTGTCATCAACTTCTTGAGAGAAGCACTTTGGGTTCTGCTACTGTGTAAGTTTTGGTTTCTCCTTTGTGGGTAATAAAGATAACCTTTTGAATAAAGCTTTGAGTTTTACAGTTAAAATTGGCTGCTGGTAAGAGGTTTATATTTAGGCAGTAATTAACTATTCTTTTTTAATATAAACAACAGTTATGGTAATTATATACAAAGCTATAGAAGTATTTTCATACTAAAATGTTGCCATTGTTATGCTATTAAGGAGATAATTTAGTCATACAAGTGTACTAGTACTTGCTATATTGAGAAAGTTAGAAATACACTGCCCATACTTTCTCCTTTTTCACAAGTAGTCTTTTTATTCCCTCTTCCTATCTCAAAGACCTAGAAAAGAGGGATACACTTTAGGAAGTAGGAAGATAATTTTTAGCTGCGTAAGAGGGGAGAAAAAAACTTCTAGTAAACTGGTAAAGTGCCTGCATTTATCTTTCAGTCCTATTGCAAAACTAGCTGGATTTCCTATGAAGTATTTGTGTATATGTGTATGTTGAGGTATATAATATAATACCTGTCTATGCACTGCAAAATGTTTAAGAAGATGGAGTCTTTTAGCTTTAGAGGATGATTTGGGGGTTTTATTTCCCCCGCCCAGCCCACTCCTTCATTTCTGCTCAGATACTGTTGTATCTACTGGTAGTCTTATGTGTCCGCTATAACTTAGTATGGCTCTTTTCACATAGAAGGTAAGACTTAACCCCATCTCCCTTACTACCAAATAGGATCCTATGTAGGAGCTGCTTAGTTGCCTCTGGGATTTGGGCTCTTCTGGTCATTTGTGTGGAGTAGTTTCTCTTTTAGATTACGCACAGACAAAATTATTCAATAACTGCTATTCCAGAGAAGTCTTTACCTAGTTGGCTTTTAGATTTGTAGTTAAGCTGATGCTTTTTTTTTTTTTTTTTTGCATAAACCAGTCCATATTTTGGAGTTAACAGTGTACCTTTTAAAGTTGACTGCCATATTTTCTGCCTTTGGCTAGGCTGGACAGCTGATTAGAAATGTTAGACACTGTATTGGACAGCTTAAAAAAAAGTAGGATGAACTAGAGATGTTTGATTTTCAAAAGCATTAATAAAGAAGAAAAGTTGTATCTTATAATAATTTTTTCCCCTCTTATAACCTCTCCTAAGATGATAGTGTAGGGCTATTTACTATATCTCTTTCTATTAAGTCATTCCCCCTTGCTTAATTCTTTTTTTTTTTTTTTTAAAGTCAATATGCCCTTCCACCTAATGAACCTGTGTTGGATGATGTTGACCCAGAATATGGACTGCATGACTACAATCTACATCTTGATATGCACGGTGGAAGCTGCAGCTACCTGTGTGGAACATTCAAGAGCCTCTTTTGCAGAAAAGGTAGAGACAGAACAGTAATGTCTGTTTTTTAAAATGATCCCTGCTGTTATGGTTTCCCTCTTATATCCAATATCGCTGTTTTAAGGGGAGAAACGGAAATGGATTTTTTAAGATCTTTTTGTTCGTTGAGTGATTTCTTTACATCTACTTGGTGCGTTGTGTGGTGTTGTAAGCTTGCTCTATATGAAGTCTGCCTGCTATTACATTGACATAGTGTCAGGCTTGAGATATAAGTTCTGCAGATTGTCAGGATATTTTTGTTTGGCTCAGTGCTGAGTTAATAATGCAGTGGCAAAGCTTTGGAAGTTCCTTCCACTTGTATACTATAAGGGAAAGTGAGTTTGTCCTCATACATTTTGGAGACCTATTTCTGTAGAATTCTTCTCAAGTATACTTTAGGTGCGTTGACAGATTAAATATTTAAATATATTTGTAGAAGATACCGTGAACTTTAAGATTTATAGCTTTTATTTAGGTCAACTTAAGGTTGCCTATTCTGACATCCTTTCATTGTGTAATAAACAATTTCAGTGATTGTTTTTAACTGTGCTGCTTTTTTCAGTTCTTAGCATTTCTTTTAATGAGGCATGATTGGCTATCCTCGTTCTTCATGTACAGCCCAACCTAATAATTCTACTAGGCTCTTGCGAAATATATGGATGATCTCTCTTTTGACTTAACTTAAACATAACCCTGTCTGCAGCTGCACAGCTGTCTTTCTGTCAGCAGAGACAGATTAAAATATTAAACTTTAAATTAAACAATTCCAATTAAATACTGTAAATTAATTATTGCTCCCCAGTATTTTTCTCATAACAGTACTAAGGAGCCTTCTGTTGATTTCAGAAAATACTGGTTTTGATTAAGACAGCAGAGGGCACTGCTATCAGGCTTGAGTGCTTTTGCAATGCTAGAACAAATTTCCCTATGACTTTTTTTTTTTTTTTAATTTGTATTTGATGACTCCAAGAACTGTCATTTAGAGTATAGCATTGTGCACAGTGTGGAGTGTTGTAGTCCCTTTAAGCTGAAACGTACATGTTTTCAGATTCCTGAAAAGCTCCAAGCTTGAAATAAAGGAATACCTATAAGGGTAAAACTTCAGTGAAATTCTGTCCATGTAGCAATACAAATCTCTCCTGAGGTGTTCAATACAGGAGTCCTCTTTATATCCTCAAAACCCATAATTTCTTCTGTAAATTGGCCAGAGGGTTGGGTTTTTTGTTTTCGTTTGGCTTGTTTTTTTTTTTTTTTAGGTGAATGTCATGTTTTGTTTTCTAAAATGAAAATTTTATGCCTGTAGCAATATAGCTGTACAAGAGAAACCAGTATGTGGCACACTTTTCTTTGTTAGTATCGCTTTTTTTGCAGCTTAGAAGCTACTTCTGTTAAAGATTAAGCTGATGTTTATGCAAATTGTAGCAACTGTCCAGGAGCTACAGTTGTGATGCCATCTCACTTTGCTAGTTATAGAATCTGTTTTATGATCACCAGTGTTTTCTGAGCTGTTTTGGTTTTGTGTCCTTTAGCTGTGTGACAGCCGCTAGATTCCACTGTCTCAGGACATCAGCCAGCTGAAGCCATGGTTCTGCAGGCAATAAATTCATTTGTCATCTAGCCCTTTCCATGTACTTGCACAATAATTTCTTTTGGAAAATGCTTGATTTCCTCTGTAATTTGTGTTCAAAAATGATGTAGTGAGGCAGCTTATGGCTGTCTGCTGTCACATATCTTCACAGTAATTTGTTGTTCACTTTGCTCTTTCTGGTAAACATGGTGTTTCTGAATGTGGCCAACAGCGTAGGTTTGTCCAAGCTGGTCGTATCTGACGGTTTGCACTTTGGTTTTAGGCTCCGTCCTAATGATACTCTTTGTCCCGTTCTCTGGGAGGGCTCTGAGGCATGGAGGGTCTCCGACATAGTGAGAAATCTTGCTATTACTTAAAATTCTCTACCCAATCCAGATTTATTTTAAATTATGGATGTGACATGCTAATGGCAGTTTCCACAAACTGAGACACAGATCAGTTGTCAGCTATTATACTGGGGTTTTACTTATTTATTTGTTTCCATTAGGAAGCTGTAGATGCTTCTAGGCTACCAGGGAATGCTCATTTGTTATTCTGCAAAATAACTGATTTCTTTGTTCATGCTTAGTTTTATTTTTCTCTGCTTTTTGTTAGTGTTCATTAATGTTGTGCTTCATTTTGTTGCTCTGTTTTCAAAAAAAATTATATTGCACTTCATTGAACCAAGTAGGTGGAGTATATATGGCTTCAGATCTTTTTTTCCTGTTATTAATACTTGCACTGCAGTAACTAGCTGTTTTGCAACTCTGTTTTGGCTGGTTTTTAGCATTTTATTTTATGTTTCCTTCCATTTAAACAGAATTGGTAATATAGTCTTGTTGACAGATACTGTAGGGTGAATATGCTAAATATTTTCAAACTGAATTTAATGTATTAGAAAACTTTTCTTGTTTTCAGGAAGCTGTGACAGGCTTTTCATGTGACTCATAGAAGCCATGAATACTACATCTAGCTTTTTAATAACCATTCTTGAAATGTATTTACTAGTTTTTGAACTTTTTAAGCATAGCTTTGTAGCCATATGGTAGTCTTAAGCTTTGGCTTTTCAATGCTATTCCTTTTGTGCTTGCAAAATGTAATGGAGTGCTTTTTGTGTGTTTCAAGAGCTTTTAAGATTTGTTTGTAAAATATCACACAGTGTGTTTGAAATGTTTTTGCTTGACCTTGAAGATTGATCTGCAAGTTTAAATGACCATTTCAGCATGGTAAGGCTGGTGGTTGCCACCAGAATTAGTGTTAAGCACAGCCTTCCCTGTGAAAATAACAATCAAATTACAACTTGCAGCAAAGGCTTGGTTAGCAAAACAAACTTACTTGGCTTTCAGCTAAAATAAGTGCCTTTGAACTATTGGGCTATTTGTTTCTTTCCCCTGAGGTTTGTCTTTGTGATATATGTTCTCTATATTGGCATTCCCTTTATTTGGAAATATTTGTTCCCTGTAACCTATACTGATTAAAGTGCTACTTTGCTGCTGTATGTGTCTTGCATGAACTCTGGACTGTAGATATTATAAGGGGACAATGAAACAAATTCTAGATCAGGCTGAAGAAAGCCCTGTCCAATTTGCTTCCTCTATGTTTCCTTTGGTATGTTTAACATAGCTTGCTCTGCCCTTTAATTTCCTTTTCTTATCTGACTGGGATGAGGAAGGGGAGATTTCAGTACTTAGCACTTCGGCTTCTTGCTTATTTCTAGGCATACTTTTTCTTCTAGATATGAGGACTGCAATGGAGCTTTTATATTTAAAAAAAATGTTACAAAGATTGCATTAGCTAACCCATGAATAATTAGCCTTCAGATTCCCGATCTGTGTCACCTCTTTCTGTTCTGGCTTAAAGTTAAGAAGTAACTGCAACAGGGGATTTAGAACTCGCACCTTAGCCAGGTGACCCATCTAGTATGCAGCAGTTCATGTTATTAATGCCATGCAATAGTAGTGATGTCCTGGGCTTCATTAATTTATTAGCAGTATGCTTTTTTCCAATCTGTCTTTATTCCATTAAAATTTTCATTTGTTTTGAATGAGTGAGAGGAATAGCTGCTTCCATTGAAATCTGAATTGCAGATAACTGAATAGTCCTTTGGAAAAAATGCATGTTGACTGATGTTTAAAGTCTCTTGTATAAAAGCTCAATTTTACATGCGGGCTTTCAATGTTCACTCAGTAAAGCTTGACTATTTATCTAAAATATTTTTATCTTGAATGAAATCTTGTCATTGGATTTGATTTACTGAGGCTTGGAACTGAACCATTTGGGTAGGTATCAACTTAATAGCCTTTTTTGCACTTTGAGCTGGATCCTGAATATGAATTCTGGTTACATTTTCCTCATTGAGTTCTCTGGGACTTCACTGCAAGGATAGTGGGTATCACCATCTGGAGTGATGCATTTTCCTGCAACCATATAAAATATTTCCTGGGCATAGTCATGTTGGTTCCACTGTCTTCACACTCCTATTCCAGACAGTGTCTGTGCTGAAAAACCTGCTGCTTCTGTCCCGTCATGTGTTGGGCTGCTTCCTCCACACAATAAGTGTTCTTCGGACTCCCTGCTTGTGAGTGGTGTCTTTCCAGCATTGGTTTGTGGCCAAGCATCTCTTGGGAGTTGCTTGGCCCTACAGTACCTGGCTTCTGTGGTGAACTGTGGGCTCTCTTTCTCTATCACTTCACCTCCAGCTGTCTGCTTTCAGCAGCCACCAGGCAAAGGCTTTTGCTGCTCCTTCACACGGGCTTTAGCATTTTATCTCAAAGCCAGCCTTTCTGATGTTGCTTCTTCTGTCTTCAGCCTCATGCTGCTACTTGGGCCTGATTGAAGGAGAACCACAGGCAAAACACTTCCCTCTTTTTTTTCACTTTTGCCACTTGTGTCTTAAACCTCTACAAGCCCCTTCAGTTATCGTGCAGGGCCTGCTACTAGATCCTAACAAGCTGTATTTTTCTGGGAATTCCTTCTCTCCCTTCTTATCTGTCTCCTGCAAGTGTTAGATACTTAGTTCTGTTCCTTTTTTTTTTTTTTTTTTTTTTCCTTTGAGGTTTCTAGTGCCTTCATTTGGTCTTTTAAGAGAGTATCTCTTGTTCAAGGAAATTTGCTTAAGTGATGTCCTGCTAAGAAATCTGCATGCATTGCGATGTGATGCATATTTCTTTTTTGTAGTCAGAGATATTGTTTGTTTTGATGTACCCTAAATTATAATTAGATTGTTGGACTCCCTGCTTAACTTTCCTCCTCCAAGAGCAAGGGAAAAAAGAACAATTAAAAAAAGTCAATCTCTTCTGGGAGCAGAGGAAGACATACCAAAGAAATATGGTTATGTTTAGGGAAAAAAAAAAAAATCACAAAGAAATTTTAATAATTCTGTCAAAAAATAGAAGTGAGCCTTTGGGAAGCTATTTAAAAAAATGAACAAATCCATTCCTTAAAAACTTGATTCAAATCAAGGTATACTGCTTGTCAGTTTAAATGATGCAATATCCTTTCCAGGGAGGACTGATAGTTATCCTTATACCCTGTTGTATAGGGTTATTTGAGTTACCATATGGAGCAGAGAGATTTAAAAAAAAAAAAAAAAAAAAAAAAAAGAAAAAAGAGGGGGGTAGGTATCTCATGATTTATTTCATGCGTTGTGTGTTGAACTTGACTTTGGGGGAGTGGGCAGTGATGGAGGTGCTGGTGGGATGAAATTTGAAATACTAAACACAGAATTTACTTCTTGCATCTTTGCGTAAGTCCTTTATGTGACATTCAGATTTTTATACTCAAATATACCGGATTTTTTTAGCTGCTCCTTCTACTGTGAATCACAGAATCAAAGCCCTGAACTGTGACATAAATTCTCTATAACGTGCTGGATATCTAGCTGTTGGTGTCGGGGTTCCTTATGGGTGAGTGGGAGGAAACTAAACTCTCTCCATGAGAAGCAGAGAGAACATTTACACTGTACTTGGGCTTAGTTTGATTTGTACTAGTATAATGTTATATATTGTTAATATTTTCAGGTGACATTGAAAATGGATATTTGAGGCTCACAGTTGTAAGCTTAAAGGATAATACGAAGCACTTGCCTCTTATTGGGACAGTTGGCTTATCCTGGGAAACAGATGTGTTTAAAGGCAATGTAAAGGTCAGTGAGAAATATTTTTTGTTTCTGGAAATGCTTATCTCAAAATAGAATAATATTTATGCATCCTAAATGTGCTAATTTTAAAAAAAGGTTTTTGTGGAAGGCGTGTGTCACTAGAAAAAGAACTCCATTCAAATATTGCAAAAACTATGTGAATTTTGAGGAGAAATAGTGTTATCATTTCTGTCTTAGAGTCTAGATTGCGTGATAGACCCATTACGCATGTGTGATGACTCCAGTGCTTTCTACTCGGCCAGGATGCTGTGACTGACCAGCACTGCTTGGAAATGCTAGACAAAAAATGTACTGCAGATGTGCTTTTTGTGGGGTTTTTGGTTGTTTGGTTTGTATTTTTTTTTCCTGGCAATAAGTCTTGAGCCCCAGGGAAATACTCTGCAGATCTGTTGCAGCATGTATGTGCAATGAAAATTAGGAGCTGTTGGAGAATATCAAAATGCCGATGGACACAGGCAGAAACTACGGTCCACGTTCATGCAGCCAGCGCGTAGCTCTTGAGTCATGTGCATGAGTCAGCTGGATTAACTGTTTGTATTCTAGAGGACTTCTCACTCACTCTCTTGTATAAAATTCCTAAAAGAATTATTTTAAAGAAAGATTGAGAGTAGTTCTGTAGATTTTGCAATAGTGGTGAAAGCATGTATTTTTAAATGTACTTCAGCTGCATGGATATTTCAGAAGTACCAAAAATTCTGATAAATGTAACTTAAGCACTACTGAAAAATGATTTTGTTCAACAGTTGATTTGAATTTTGGCACTTTGAAAAAAAAGTAAAAATTAATAAAACTGTCCTTTTTGCTAATCCTGTGTAAGCACGGAATGGAATACTGTTTGATAATATATTTTGCTCATAGACATTAACATACTTGCTTTGTGGTTTACAGTGTCAGCCAGCTTCCCTATGCAATGAGGAATACAAAATTTATCTTAAAACTTAGTAACCTACTAGTATCCGTTGGGAACATCAACTACAGTTAAGCTTGAACTGCAGTTTCCGTTCAGTCTTTCCTCTCTAATTGCTCATAGCAATTTTTTTTCTTCAAATTCCTTGTTTGCATAGTGACAGGTTTGTTCACTTGCATTTGTTGTCAGTTTGTACTAAACTTTTTTGAGTTCAGTGTTTGTTTTCAAAAGAACAACAAATTCTTCCCATATGTGCATTAATAAAAATAATGTATGTCGGTTATTAGAAGGAATTCAAGCTAACAAGAAAATGCTTTTAAGTCAGTTTTTTGCCATCTTTCTTTAATTGCTGTGAATGTTCATTGAGAACCATAATGCAGAATAGGTGCTTTTTTTGAAGCTTCTGAGAAATTTTAGACTTGAATTAGTTTATTTTTATTTTATTTTTGTGTGTATCCCATTAATTTCATTGGAACTATTTGCATGCTTAAAGTGAGTGGGATCTTAGCACATAATTACAGAATATGCTTCATTTGCTTGAAAAGCATATCATAGGAGGTAGGAAGTCTTGCTGCCGTGTTGGGCAGATATCAGAAAATCAAGGCTCCGGGGATGCCTTACTGTGGCCTTTCAATATATAAAGGGGGTTTATGAGGAAGACTGAGGGAGACTTTTTACCAAGGCCTGTAGTGACAGGACAAGGGAAAATGGTTTTAAACTGAAAGAGGGTAGATTTAAATTGGACATTAAGAAGAAATTTTTTTTTACCATGAGGGTGGTGAGACAGCGGAACAGGTTGCCCGGAGAAGGTGTGGATGCCCCATCACTGGAAATGTTCAAGGCCTGGTTGGATGGGGTTTTGAGCAACCTGATCTAGTGGAAGATGTCCCTGTCCATGGCAGCGGGGTTGGACTTAGATGATCTTTAAAGGACCCTTCCAAACCAAACCATTCTGTGATTCTATATGATTTACAGCTGCTTGGCAGAATTTTTTCTTCCATGAAAATAATCATGAGTACCACATAAAAATCTGGGAAATAACTGTCAGAGGAAACAGAGAGCTATGGCTGTAGCCTTTAGTTTAGCTCTGTCCTGTGTGCTTACAGCGTAAGTTATACTGAATGTTTGTTTCTAGGAAAAAATAAATAATATCAATATTTTTTTTTAAACCCCTCATTTTGTGGTGAGAGATTGCACATGTCAACGCATAGCTGTGGGTAGAATTCAATTCGGCTTTTAACATAAATCTCTCAAACTCTTAAAATATGCGAAGGCCAAATAAAATCAGCCACAGCAGGAGAACATGCCACTACTTTGAATTTATTTGAATTTTGTCCAGTACTCTAAGGGAAAAAAAAAAAGCTTTTTTTGGCACTTAGGGGTATTTTTTTGTAAAAAAATGAATTGCTGAAGTACAGATAGTTGGAAATACATGGGAATAAAAAACCCCCAAGACTCAAGGCCACCCTGCTTTACTTTTCATAATTGGTCTTTGATATGCAAGGTGTCAGACCAGAAAATAGTAATTCTTTCTTGTTTCAAGTAAATTTATAGCTCGTATAAGTGATTAAATGATCTTCAGATTTGATTTGAGTTTTGTACTTTCAGCATTCTACAGTAACAAACTTAGGAAAACTGTATGTATCGCATTACCTCTTATGTTTGCGCCATCTGCTCTGTATTGTTTGATTGCAGTACCGTAATAGTGAAAGAAATGTTAAAGCAATGGAAGCACAACTATGTAGTACAGTGAAATAAAGCGTTCCAAATTAATTTTTTGGCATGAAATATGTGATGTTGGTTTGTTTATGCTTTTGGAGCATATGATGCTCCTGGAAGTAATGCATATATACACCATAATTAAGATAATCTGATTCATTTAGTGATTCAGAACTCATGAGAATAGGTAACAGCTGATGATATTAACAATGACACACAACCCATATGCTTTTAAGGCACGTGTGAAACCATCAGTTTGCAGGTGCCCAAGAATTGGCATCCTGACTTCAACATTATAAAATGATGTAATTGCATAGTGTTTAAAGAAATATTTTCAAGAATTTTTAAAAGGAATAATTATTTGGAGGGCAGAAAGATATATTAGTATTAACTTTTTTGGAACTGAAGCTTGCAGCCATTCAAAATGTGCTGTATACCTTTCATTTATAGCTGGCATATAGGGGTAATTGTTGTGTGTGTACACTGCCTTGGGGGTGGTCTCTTTGTGTGTCTTTGCCAATACTGCAGCATTCAAAGAAGTTTAGCACCTGAGTTTAAACTTAGGTTTCTTGTTTGTATTGAAAGGACTGTCATTATTTGAATGGTAAGGTAACTAATAATTGAGAAACACAGATGTTAAAGGCTTAAAAATGTTCAAGGAATAATGTCTGATTTAGGTTGGCAGTGCTACCTTCTGTAGCACAGTTTTTCATGTCTGTAGGTTGCAATTTTGATTTCTGTAGGAAACCTCTAAATAAGTATTTGCTGCTTTGCAGTAGTCAGTGGAGCACTATTAATTATATTTTGAGTTTTTAGCCTTCATACCAAAAATTGCTCTCTGAACCCTTGATATTTCTCCTAAAATCAGGGATAGATCTACTTACCATGCCATGGCATAGGGAATTAATCTCTTCTGCTTCTGATTGTAGGACTGCTATGTGATGGATGTTACTCTCTTGGATGAAACTGGAAAGCCCTTCTGGTGTTTCAGTGCCCCAGTCTACATGGAACTGTCTTCCAAGGCATCCAGCCTTTATGACTACATGGGTCATATCTATACCACAGACTATGCAGATTCAGAGGGTAAAGTCTGTGTTGAGTTCGTATGGCTGGAAGAAACCAAGGAGTATTTTATAGTCAATTTGGTGCTTTATATAAGCACCAAAAAGGTAAATAACTGGTATGGAACAAATTACTGACTTAATTGGGTCACTAATTTCCTTGCTTTAAAAAAAAAACAAACCAAACAATACAAAAAACACACTAAACTTTTGATGCTTAAAATTGATACCAATGAGCAAGACTGTTCCTGCAAGTTTTATGCCTTTTAGTCTTTCAGTAACAAGTGCAATTGCATAATTTTGTTTTTAATTGGCATTGGAGGGATTGAAGAGACATGTTGATATAAATGAATATTTTTCTTCTCTATTGAACATCACATGGTTAGTCTGTTTCTGCTACTGGGTATATTAAATTCATTTATTTTTAGGAATATTTTTCTTTATAGATACTTGTTACCATGGTTAACAAATTGCTTCTTGTGAGAGACATACTGTGAAGATGCCTTGCCTTACGTAAGCTACGCTATTGTTGAGAACATTGACTTTTATGCCTAGTAGTAAAACAGCATGTGTGCTGTTCCCTTCAGATTCGTTAGAATGTTATTGGTAAATAACATGTTTTAATAGATTTTGTTAAATGCAGAAATACTTTTTTTCAGAAAATACTTCACTTAAGTGTATTTTAGTAGAGGATTTGAAAGATAGACAGGAAGTCACGATCTGAACGATACGGCAGTTAAGGCATTTGTTAAGAAAATCATGTATAACGTCTATTATGAAATTTCTTTAAATTCCTGTTTGTTCTGTTTTCCCATGTTCTAAACTTCTGTCTGATTTGAGCCTAGGTACTTGCCTTATATATTGACCTATGAATAAGTGTCCCAATTATCAGCGCAGCTGAGCTGACATCTGCTCTCACTGAATGTATGTAACATTCAGTTGTTTTGGAAACAATGCGTATCTGATACCGTTTATCTAACAATAAGTATTCATATAAAAATTGAATGTATGTGCCTGATCTTTCAGGTGCCTTGAAGTAACCGTGGGACCAAATCTTCTACTCCCTGTATAAAAAAAAATAAAATGAGATGATATTGGGACACCAGTGTCATTACATAGCATGTTACAAAGCACAGCAAATTTGTGTAGTTTCACAGTACTCTTAAGAAAAACGCACAACTATATTGTTGACTTCTGTGACTTTATTATGGTAGTGATTTCCTTAAAAATAATTTCTCTCTTTTCTTTATTTGTTTAAGTACATTAATTGGTTCATGCAAGCAATGTTTATGTGGAAGCACTTGTGCTCAATGCTACAGAGACAGTAGGAGAGCTATACTACAGTGATAGGGTTGTTTCTTAATTTAACTTTCAAAGATAATAAAGTTAAGGCTGATTCAATTTGAGTTTGATTTGTATAACCTTGCCTAATGAAGAAACGGAAACGTTTGTGTGTTTGGTGGTTAGCCAGTGTAACACGCGTGATCAGCTGCATTCTGTCCCCTTTCTTATTGACTGCTGATGGTGACTGGGATACCTTGAAGTAGTGTAAGTGTTTTAAACAAGTGGACTGGGTGTGATGAATGCCAGAACAACAGACACTGAAATTCATGCTGCACAGACAAGTGGCCACTCAAGATTTTCTTTTGTCTGAAGTTAGATTTTGAGGCACCACCTTTAGCAAGGAAATGGTAGCTTAATCTCAAAGTCCTTTCAGTCGCAGGCCTCGCTGCTAAACCTGTAAACGAAGATGTAGAATTATTCTGGCTGCTTTGATCCTTTGAGATGTGCAAGTATGTTCTCTGACCTGCTGTGAAGCTGCCAAAGTCGATGGGCACTCAGCAGCCATAAAATGGTAAGAGTTCTGTCACTGCTCATTCTAGCTGAATTTTTGTTGAATTTCCTTTTTTTTTTTTTTTTTTTAAAGTAAAGTACTTCCTTTTCTTTAAAAAGCAATTTCAACTTCTAAAGCATTTGACCGTTTTATACAATTGAACGTTTTATAGCAAATTCTGGTGTCACTACTTGAAATGAAACAAGAGTGTGCTGTCCCTACGCACAATACTCCAGTCTAGTAGCCTGAAAGTTTACTAACTGAATTAATGAGGAAGACAGTAAGTCTTTAGCAACACTGTCAACCTAAAAAGTGGTACAAGGCACAGAGGAGTTTCCCCAGGCTATTGCTAACTTATTTCTGCTAGTTGCAAACAAGAATGTGTATATGCAGCAGAGCCAAGCAAATGGTGGTTCTGAGATCTTAAAAAATGGACATAACTGTTGCAGAGCTGTTCTCGCACATCTTCGCTGAAGTAACAGGACCATACTCTTTGTCCTTTCTGAAGATATGAAGACTAAGAATCCATTTTTACCTCTTCAGATAGGCCTGAGATTGACCTAAACCTGCTGTGGTATTATGCCATGTGTACACTGCTTTAGTTTCAGCTGACAGTTGCTTTTAACTTGCACAGCGGAAGCAAATTCAGGAGTTACCACCTGTATGATCACACCTGGAAAGTTACTTGTGGCTTCACTCAAACTTCCATTTCTTCAGCTGCCATCTTCCTTTCTTTGTATAAGTGAGGACATACACTGAACATCCACAAAGAAAAAGGATGGTATTAGGTAACTGCGCTGGCCCTTTTCATGAAAGAAAATATCATCTGTTCCAAAAAGCTACATGTTTTGATAAAATCTTCAGCTAATCTTTTGCTAAGTCCCTTCTTATATACCTGGTACAAAAGATGGTAGGATGAGTTGCATGTCCCACTCTGTGATAAAAGATTCTTGCTGTATGAAAGGCAATTGTTAGAACAAACAGGAAAAATGGAGGCACCAGCTGAAATCTGACCATCGAAATACACAGCTGGTCATGACACTAAGCCTTGCATCACATTTTTCTCTTAATGCCTCAGGATTTCTTGCAGCAGCTTTTAACAATTTTGTTAGTGGTCCATGGTGAAGACAGGACAATGTCTTTGTTGTAATTGCATCATTTATCCAAGTAGTAGGACAATTTCTGTGAGAGAAAGTATAAGCACTTGTAAGTGGGGAAAAAAAAATGAAAAAGTTAAAGATTTTACTTGTATTTGTGTGCGCTTCAGGGACCAACTCATCCAAGTAAAAAGAGAGTAACCACCACCAATTTTTAAATGTGCATGTTTAAGTACTCTGCAACAGATAGAACTGTAATATTTTTAAAAGGGTGATTTACCTGGTAGGCAAGCATAAAAACAGTACTTATGTTTATTTTATTGCAAATATAATAGTGCTCATTTAACATAATGAGTTTAAATTTCATTGAAAAGGCATCAATTAGTATGAAAGAGTGATTTAATGAAAGGGCTTTTATGAGATTATTCCAACAGTGGAGGAGTTGTCTTTTTAATAGAACTGCATCTAAATGTTAATCCTGCCATTTGTCATTGTTTTGCCAGATGTCTGCTGTGTACCTAAATGCTTCCACATTCTCTGTTCTTTTTCTTTTTTTTTTAAAGAGGTACTTGTAAATGGAAAACGTCTTCAATGAACAATTCATTGATATTCTTGGGCACTTAATGTGATATTCCATTGATTCAAGCTGGAACTGTGTTGGTTTATATCATCTGAAGAATTGTCCTTAATTTTAACACTGCCACTCCGGAGTCATTGCTCTTTACTGCAGTTGACTTCCTTTAGTGGGGAACTAATAGCAGCTATGTATTTCTGAAGTCTTTGTGGTGTAGACTAGTAATCAAACTGGCCTTTCAGTTGTTTTGGTTTTTCTTCCCATCTTTTTGCAATTGCTGTTACAGAACCAGCTCTGCTTGCATGCTGCGTTTCTGTTCCAATGCGCTTTTGATACATGTGATTGAATACAGAAAGCAGTTGTATGGTGGATAGCCTCATCACAGATATTTTTTTTCATGCCTGGTCTCTCTCTCTCTATTTACCAGGCATGTTTTGATTTGCATTCATCCATTAGATATTTAGGTATGGTCTTGATTTTGTTGAAACTGTTCTCCTTGTCATATGCTTGCTTTTTGAGACAAGCACTGGGTTTTTTTTGGGGTATTTTTGGTGTGTGTTTGTTTTTTTGGTATTCAGCTACATGAGCTGAAATGGATTAATAACGTTTTAGATTAAGAATCTAGACAAGTGATCAAGTTGTATATCTTAAGCATATCTTAAGTATATCTTATTGAGCTGCCATCCAGCAACAGTCATGTAGTAGCCTACCTTGTATTTACCAGGTGTTCCAATACATTCAAACAATTAGAAGGAGATCTAGGTAAAAGCATTTGCTCTTCTGCCTGTCTGGCATACTACTACAGCTCAGCTGATACGCAGTGACTCACTAAGTTGTGATGACCAAATCCGAGCTCAAATATAACTGCATTAGAAACTGCACAGATAAAACAGTGTTTCAAGAAATTAAAATGAGAACAAGCAATGGGTTTTAATCTCTGCTTGTGTGTAGAGGTTGGAAGGACATTAATATGAAAAGTTAAATTCTGTCTTTGTTTCTTGTCTCTTGCTTCTGCCATAAATTAGAATGGGAAATGGTGGCAACAAGGGTAACTAGTGAGCTGTGTGTGGTGAGGAAAGATCTATTGTACCGAATTTCAAAGCATTGCTTATTCTTTTCTTACCTCAAATTTTAAATCATTTTTAGGAGTCTTTGTCATGCTGTGCCTCTCTTGAAATGTCCATGAAAAAGGAGTAATGTTACTTTGTATTAATGCTACTTCAGTTGTATAAGTGTTTACAATAAAGTTGAAAACTGTAAGGCTTTTAAACACGTGAAAGAACACTGAAATGGGAGTTATTCCTTCTAGGTTTAAGCTGTTTATCTCCTTTTGAAGAGAGATGAACCTTTTGAAGGGAAATGCACCTATGAGTCAGATACTGATCGTGTATTAGTAGGTAGGATTACTTTTGTTCTGCATACAGACCACTTGGAATGCATGTTGATAATTTTTTCCTCTCCTGAATCAGTCATACACAAAGTTAAATTCAGCTGTCTTGATGAAATCTTATCCAAAAAAATGCAAGGTAGGGAAGTGTGTGTAATAGCTAGTTAATGTCTTGTGTATTCACTGAAATACCATAAATCAGTTTAGTCCACAGGCATTGGAAAGTATTCAACTATTAAACAAAAA